CAATAGAATGTTCTTGGGTACAATAAAGTTGGTATACCCAACTTTATTCCACGGTGGCAGGTCAATCACAAGAATCCCATCCACATAGAGTGAGTCTACATGCAGCAAGCTGGTCTCTGCCCCTGGGCCTCTCTACCCCTGCAGCTGTCTCAGTCTTTCTCCTCAGTGCTGCGACCACTCCAGCCTCTGCCCTGCTCTCCTGCAGCCTTGCAGCTGTGCCACCGCATCACTCAGAGCACTGGGCAGGGCTCTTTATATAGAGTCAATAATGATGTATTGCCCACACGTGTAGTGAGCTAGCCAACCAGGGCCAGAGAATCCTGGCCACAGGAACCTTCACTTTATCCACAGGTGGGCATACATAGCTACTTCTGGCTGGTAGAGGAGAAGAGCCACTGGAGGACTAGAGCTCTAGGACATTTGTTAGGAGGGGGCAGCATGGGCTCAGACAGGATAGAGGACCTACCCGGTAGTGCCACCTGGGCTCAGGTTTTCTGCTCCCAGCTGTGCAGGAATCCTGGAATCAGGCTGTGCCTTATAGGGGGAGCCCACAGCCTTGCCAGGACCTCAGTTGCCCTGAAATCAGCCCTAAACTTTCTTCCTATGGTTCATCCATCAGAGCCAGTGAGGGCCCCAGGAGACAGAAGGGAGGGTACAGGACTTCTCCCAGCTCTCCTAGGAAATAGTCTAGGGAAGCTGGCCCTGGCCATCTCTGTGGTGGCCCCTGGAAGCTGAATCCTGTCGATGCTGCTCTATCCAAGATTGTGTGTGAAGCTGGAGAGCAGTTTCCTCATCTATAAAATGAGTACCATCATAGTATCTCCTGCAGTTGTAGTGTCTGAGAAAGGGACAGGCAAAGGGCCCTAACAGGCAGGAGTGGGTTGTTCATTCATGCTGGTGATGGGGCTTGGGAGGATCCCTGGAGACCTTCCTTCCCCTTCTGGGCTCATTGCTTCCCAGCTGAGTGATCTGGTGCCTCTGGGTCGCAGTTCCTGGGGAGGAACTGGGGATGGTGAAAACCACCAGTGAGGACCACACTTCCCCTTTTGTCCCACTACCTGCTCTGGGCCCTCTCTCACGTGGGTAGGGCGAGGTGGGGCCTCTTTCCAGCTCTCCCTCCAGGTCTGTTTCCCCGCTGGGAGAGTTGGGCTCTTCTCATTTCCCAACCTTCCTGGCCTCAGTCACAGTGCGTTTTCAGAGGACCCTTCCCATGTGCTTTGCTCGGTGACAGTGCTGCAGCATTCTTAGTCTCAGAGAAAAGGAGACTTCCCTGAGGAAGGAGACCATGCGCAGGGTGGGAAGCAGAGCTGGGACTGAGCCCAGGTTGGCCAGATTCAGGAGGCCTTCCTATGATGTCCTGTGAGCAGTCATCTCCCCCATTCCCCATTGACGCTTACCACACCCCTACTGGCCTTGGACTGCTTTTTCCTCCCCCTCTCCCACCCCCACTCTCACTTCCTACCTTAGCTGTGCAGATAGAGCAAAGCAGAGCAGGCTAGGGCCATGGGTACCACATAGGTTTGTATTCTGATTCCTTTGATGACTTTGCTTCTCTGGGTCTCAGTTTCCTAATTTGTAAAATGGGAATAATATCCACCTTGCAGGATTGCATTGAAGATTCAGTAAGAAAATGGCATGGTTTGCCCTCAGGAAGTGTTAGCATTAACTTAATTAAGAGTTTGGGCTTTGGACTTGAAAATGGGTTCAAATCTTGGCTCTTGTCTTTGCTGGCTCTGTGAACTTGCTCAAGTGATTGTACCTCCCTGGGCCTAGTGTCTTGTAAATGGGTATGAGAAAAGTGTCTACTTCAGAGGTTCTCATGAGGATTAGTGAGAGTATTTTTTTTTTGTTATCATTAATCTACAATTAGATGAAGAACATTATGTTTACTAGGCTCCCCCCTTCACCAAGTACTCCCCCACCCCATTACAGTCACTGTCCATTAGCGTAGTAAGATGCTGTAGAATCACTACTTGCCTTCTCTGTGTTGCACAGCCCTCCCCATGCCCCCCACCCCACATTATACATGCTAATCGTAATGCCCCCTTTCTTTTCCCCGCCCTTATCCCTCCCTTCCCACCCATTCTACCCAGTCCCTTTCCCTTTGGTGGTAACTGTTAGTCCATTCTTGGGTTCTGTGATTCTGCTGCTGTTTTGTTCCTTCAGTTTTTCTTTGTTATTATACTCCACATATGAGTGAAAT